GAAAAATTGATCGACGTCTCCGAAAAAGCATGGTTTTGAACAGGACACTGTCATTTGACGTGAATAACATATTTGCGGCGCACCATCTTGTTTTGAAGCAAAATCGTATACATTTAGAATTGCCATGGAAAATAATAGTAAATAGATTCAAAAGTGAAAAATTGTTCGACGTCCCCGGAAAAGCATGGTTTCGAACAGAACACTATCATTTGATGTGAATAACATATTTGTCGCGCACCGTCGTGTTTTGAAGCCAAATCATATACATTTAAAATAGGCATGGAAAATAGTAGTAAATAGAGGCAAAAGTGAAAAATTGTTCGACGTCTCCGGAAAAGCATGGTTTCGCACAGGACAGTATCATTTGATGTGAATAACATATTTTTCGCGCACCATCGTGTTTTGAAGCCAAATCATATACATTTAAAATAGCCATGGGAAATAGTAGTAAATAGAGGCAAAAGTGAAAAATTGTTCGACGTCTCCGGAAAAGCATGGTTTCGAACAGGACACTTTCATATGATGTGAATAACATATTTATCGTGCACCATCATGTTTTGAAGCATAATCGTATAATTGCCATGGAAAATAGTAGTAAATAGAGGCAAAAGCGAAAAATTGTTCGACGTCTCCGGAAAAGCATAGTTTCGAACAGGACACTATCATTTGATGTGAATTGTTTGTCGCACACCATCGTGTTTTGAAGCAAAATCGTATACATTTAAAATAGTGATGGAAAATAGTAGTAAATAGAGGAAAAGTGAAAAATTGTTCGACGTCTCCGAAAATGCATGGTTTTGAACAGGACACTATCGTGTTTTGAAGCAAAATCGTATACATTTAGAATAGCCATGGAAAATAGTAGTAAATAGATTCAAAAGTAAAAAATTGTTCGACGTCTCCGGAAAAGCATGGTTTCGAACAGAACACTATCATTTGATGTGAATAACATATTTGTCGCGCACCAAAAATTGTTCGACGTCTCCAGAAAAGCATGGTTTCGAACAGGACACTATCATTTGATGTGAATAACATATTTGTCGCGCACCATCGTGTTTTGAAGCCAAATCATATACATTTAAAATAGCCATGGAAAATAGTAGTAAATAGAGGCAAAAGTGAAAAATAGTTCGACGTCTGCGGAAAAGCATAGTTTTGAACAGGACACTATCATTTGATGTGAATAACATATTTGCCGCGCACCATCATGTGTTGAAGCCAAATCGTATACATTTAGAATAGCCATGTAAAATAGTAGTAAATAGAGGCAAAAGTAAAAAATTGGTCGACGTATCCGGAAAAGCATGGTTTCGAACAGGACAGTATCATATGATGTGAATAACATATTTGTCGCGCACCATCGTGTTTTGAAGCAAATTCGTATACATTTAAAATAGTCATGGAAAATAGTAGTAAATAGAGGAGAAAAGTGAAAAATTGATCGACGTCTCCGAAAAAGCATGGTTTTGAACAGGACACTGTCATTTGACGTGAATAACATATTTGCGGCGCACCATCTAGTTTTGAAGCAAAATCGTATACATTTAGAATTGCCATGGAAAATAATAGTAAATAGATTCAAAGTGAAAAATTGTTCGACNATTGTTCGACGTCTCCGAAAAAGCATGGTTTTGAACTGGACAATATCGTGTTTTGAAGCAAAATCGTATACATTTAGAATAGCCATGGAAAATAGTAGTAAATAGATTCAAAAGTAAAAAATTGTTCGACGTCTCCGGAAAAGCATGGTTTCGAAGAGAACACTATCATTTGATGTGAATAACATATTTGTCGCTCACCGTCGTGTTTTGAAGCCAAATCATATACATTTAAAATAGCCATGGAAAATAGTAGTAAATAGAGGCAATAGTGAAAAATTGTTCGACGTCTCCGGAAAAGCATGGTTTCGAACAGGACACTATCATTTGATGTGAATAACATATTTGTCGCGCACCATCGTGTTTTGAAGCCAAATCATATACATTTAGATATAGGTGAAGCATTAGTTCAATTTCAGGAATCACCTCAACAAATTAATAAATTAACATGGGAAAAACCTCTATCAGTTGTTCCTTCTCCTGATTTAAATTCTACAAAACCAATAGTCTAGTCTCGTTTCAATGCTACTTTTGTTTATGACTGGAATATTGATGGAAAATCATAATATGAAATTATTAGTATTTTACAACAAATGACTATGGCTGTAAATTCTTATAAAACCCAAAGTGGCCTCCAAGATAGAGCCATAGCCGAAATAATTATAGCTGGATTTTCCGGTCAAATTAAAGGATGGTGGCATTATTATCTTACTAGTCAGCAACAAGAAGAAATTCTTGATGCCATTAAAACTGACGAAGATGATGTTCCCATATTTGATCCTGATGGAAATCCACAACAAGATGCAGTTGCTAGGTTAATCCTTACGATTTAATTACATTTCGTAGGAGATCCATCTCATTGAAAGGATAAAAATGCTGAGCTCCTTTCAAACCTTAGGTGTCGAAAACTTGGTGATTTTCTTAATTATAAAAATACCTTTCTCACAAGGGTAATCCTCAGAGAAGACTCTAGGCAGCCGTTTTGGAAAGAAAAATTCTTAGCAGGATTACCAAACCTACTAGGTGAAAAGGTTAGGAACCGTATTAGAGAAATATGCGGTAAACAAATGATTTGTTATTATGAATATACCTAGGGTCAACTTGTTAGTATAATTTAACAAGAAGGCCTAAAAATCTGTCAAGATTTAAAACTCCAAAAACATCTCAAGTGGGAGATGAAGAAAACAAAATTAGAACTAGGAAATTTGTGCCAACAATTCGATATCGACCGAAACAAGCCTAATAATTGTTGTTCAGGAGGTTGTAGTTCTACAAGAAAAAACAAAAAACCTTCTAAAAATTATTATAAATCCAATAAAAATTATAAAGATAATCTTAAAATAGATTATTATGAGAAATCCAAAAGAATAAATCCTTATTCAAAACCTAAACAAAAACAATATTCTAGTGATTGGTTAAAAAATGTTGAATGCTTCAAATGTCATAAGAAGGGACATACAGCCAATTATTGTAGACTTAACAAAAAATTACAAGAATTAAAACTTGAAGATGAAGTAATTAACAAAATTTCTAATCTTCTAGTTGAGTCATCAGATAATTCAAATTCCAACTCTAGTACAGAGTCAGATTATTCCTTTAATAAAAAAGGATCCCCTCAAGTAGATGAAGAAATAGACTCATCTAGCTTCCACTCTAAGTCTGAGTCAGAAAACCATATTAGCGTTCTAACCAAGGAACAAGAATTCCGCCTTTAAATCATGAAGAACATTCATGACCCACACCTGCAAAAAGAATACGTTGACAGACTGTTCGATAAGAAAGCTTGTAAAAATACGGAAACACCAAATATCTATAAAAATACTTACGACTTAACAAATATATTAACCAAGGAAAAAAGGAAAAAACTGAAAATACTACTATTAATGATTTGCAAAAGGAAATTAAGGAAATAAAATATGAATTGAAATATTTAAAGCAAAAGCACAGTCAGGATATTGGATCCATAATACATCTTCTTGATGAATTCAAAAATTCTCAGGAGTCTGAAAAATCAAAAGAGTCTGATGAGTCTGAGGAAGAAAATGAACAGGGAAAAATTGAGTTAAACAACTTGCAAAACATCTCTGATAATTTCTTGTTAATTCTCAAAGAAATCACTTCCCGAAAATACCTTATACAGATTACTTTATAGTTCTCTGAAAATTTCAAAATAAATACCGTTGCACTTTTTGCTACTAGTGCAGATTTGAATTGTATTAAAAATGGTATTATACCCAAAAGATTTCAAGAAGAAACTACAGAAAGTCTTTCTATAGCAAATAATTCTAAAATAGATATTTGTTCAAAAACTGAAGCCATTATTGTCAATAATGGTACTTCGCTAAAAACATCTTTTCTTCTTGTAAAGGATATCACCAACACAGTCATTTTAGGAACTCTTTTCATAAATTTAATCACCCCTTATACTGTGGGAACAAATTCTATTTCCTTTAAAACCATTAACAAAAGATTATATTTTGATTTTCTTGAAAAACCAAAAAATGAGAATTTGAATTTAATCAAAGCTTATTCTATACACACTATAAATAGTCTTACGTTGACAAAAAATCTTGTTGAAAAACAAGATTATCACAAAACAATTCCCAAATTACAAATTCCTTTTAACCCTCCAAATACTTGGGAAGAACAAAATTATATTATATGTCTTCCTTATGGTATAAAATCAAAATTCTTGGAAAAACCTTTTTACCAAACCAAAATATTTATTTTTCAAACAAACATTGAGTACTGTTTTATTTTCTTACATTTGTTCTTGCAGGACTTCCCCTTCAAAGGCCTAGAACATAGCCCGTTTCTGACGGATCATCAGATATTGGTAAACAATTTTTATTACAAAAATAAGAGACAACTACAACAAAGCTTAATTGCTTTAGGGTGGTATCTCTTCAACAAAACACAATCCCAGTATTTTGTAATTCTCAAAGGTGTTTTCAAACGCTTATTTTCAATAGAACACCTAGTAGAAATACAAAATCCGATTTTTTATGGATTTCATGATTTCCAGGAAACCATAAAATTCTATGATAAATCTTTTCAAAACACATTTTTTATGGATCCCCTAGTCCAGAAAGAATTTGCACAATCTTTCTCTCAAGTTCAAATCCTTTCCAAAAAACCATATGCAAATACCGAGGCATCTTCCCGAAAGATGAAAAAAATGATAAACCTCACAAACGAAAATATGAGGCATAAACGTCAAAATCCCTCACCTCAAACACGCCTTGATCCAGTTCGTTTATTCATCTACCCTCATCAACAACTTTCAAGCCTTCCACATGATATAAGAAAAATAATTTTCCAAAAAGCTAAAGAAAAATTCGAGAAAAAAGATGACAAAATACATGAATTTCTTACAGAAATGGCAAAGAAAAAAGAAGTGACAGATGGCCTAGGAATTTGTGACACATATAATTACAACCAACAGGAGGAGTGCAAAGGAGACTGTATAATCCCCTATTGCGAATGCTCCCTGGATTACAAAATTCCTAGAGTTACAGTCGACCTTGAACTGTATATGAAATATTATCCTCGTGACATCACACATTTAGAAGAAGTGATAACAATCCATACACTTCTGGACTTCGGCCTTATTGAATGCATACAATTTCGTGGTGACCAGAACGTGATCCAAAGAAGCAACTTAGGAAAAAAGCTGAAAGAAGTATTTCACACATATCTATTGAAGTTAAAGGGTGAACATCACTCTGGCGACATTTGGATTTATCCATACATAGACTCAAAGCCTTTAGGATGGTCTCACAGCAAGTTTGAACCCACATAACATGTTGTTTATCTTTCCTACCGAGTAAGGTCTCGAGCGATGGACTTCGTACCATGCCAAATTACCTTGCCAAAGACTTACAAAAAAACAATAAGAGAGCAAATAACAAATTGGAGATCAAGAATGATAGCCAACAACTTATTTGAAGATAAAAAACTTCAACTAACCAAATACAGACTCGTTTACCAGAACCCTATATACAAAATCTACGTCTATAACAAAAAACAATTGGGAAAAAAGCTAGACCCATTCTTCACGACAATGGAGATTGGTTCTTATGCCTTAGTCAGAAAATTCCAAAACAAAGGCAACACAAATTCAAGGTACCAAGACTCGCTCTTCTACAAAAGTCTCTTAGAAGAAGAAGAAGATGAAGAAAAACAAGTACAAGACAAATCGCCATGCTCGAAGATGACAACAGTCAACCTTGCGGACGATTATGAAGATCCGATTTTCGGAACTAATGACACTTGATATTGTATAAATATTGTAATTTATTTTATTTCCTAGATTTAGTTGTTTTTTTCAAAATGTTCTAATAGCATAAGAAAAACAAAAGAAAAAGAGAAAAATCAAAAAATCAATGAAAAAAGAAGTTAAAAAAAATCAAGAAAAATAAAAAAAATGCAATCATTATGTGGAAGAAAAATAAAACCATTCTACCCCACCCCCCACCCCATCATTCATCTATATAAACCACACCAAAAAACACCACAAACACAACATTTGACAACACCACACAACACAACATTCCACAACACATCACAAGAATTCTCTCATAAGCTTTCTTCTCGCCTCCCTTCTCCTCTCTTCTCCTCTCTTTCTTCTCCAAATGCCGAGAGCCTTTAGAACGGTTGAAGCTTCCATAGCTTAACTTTTCTTTTGTGTTCTTCAAATTCCCAAAATCCTAAACTTTCTCAAATCCCATATGTATTGTTAGTATTGAACATTCAAAAGATTACTCAAAGCTTTGAAGGCCTGGAGTAATTATAAACTCGATTATTAATACAACGTTCGTATATGATCAAGTTCTTGTTCATTTATGTTCAAGTTCTTGTTCAGACTTTTAATATCAATAGTTTTTGTGGTGGTTCAGCCCCATAAGTGTTCTCTTTTCATTACTTTCATGGTGGCACTAGCCCCATATTAATATTAATTAAATTATATGTTACATGGTCGGTTCTACCACCTGTGTTAACATACTAAAATATTATTATTATTATTATTATTATTATTATTATTATTATTATTATTATTATTATAAATATATGGTTGGCTTCAAGCCCCATAACTAATAAAAACTAACTCAATCAAATACCTTATGGTTGGCTTTAAGCCCCATAAATTTTAAATTCCGCTCTTTACTTTATGCAAATACCTGCTGGAAGTAATTCCGCAATTTACTTTGTGAAATTTACTTTCCGCACTTTAATTTATGCAAATACCTGCTGGAAGTAATTCCGCAATCTAAATTCCGCTGTTTACATTTATGCAAATACCTGTTGGAAGCAATTCCGCAATTTAAATTCTGCACTTTAAATTCCGCATCAAACTGCTGGAAGAAGTTCCACAATTTTATTTTCTTTTATAAGGTTGGCCTCTAAAGCCCCATACTTTAAATTCCAGTATTTAAATTTCGCATTTAAATTCTACAAAATTGTTGGAAGTCATTCCGCAACATATAAACTGTTTTATGGTTGGCCATTAAGCCCCATAATTTAAATTCCATTAATTAAATTACGTACTTAAATTCCACTATTATTATCTTGTTTATGTGGAGGTATTCACCCATATTACTAATTGTTCTTGTTATCTATCTTTTGTGAGAAGTTCTCTTCTCCTGTCTACTACAACAAAGCTTAATTGCTTTAGGGTGGTATCTCTTCAACAAAACACAATCCCAGTATTTTGTATTTCACAAAGGTGTTTTCAAAATGTTTAATTTTCAATAGAACACCTAGTAGAAATACAAAATCCGGTTTTTTATGGATTTCATGATTTCTAGGAAACCATAAAATTCTCTTATAAATCTTTTCCAAACACATTTTTATGGATCCCCTAGTCCAGAAAGAATTTGTACAATCTTTCTCTCAAGTTCAATCCTTTTCAAAAAAACCATATACAAATACCGAGACATCTTCCCGACAGATGAAAAAAATGATAAACCTCACAAACCAAAAAATGAGGCATAAACGTCCAAATCCCTCACCTCAAACACGCCTTGATCCAGTTCGTTTATTCTTCTACCCTCATCAACAACTTTCGAGCCTTCCACATGATATAAGAAAAATAATTTTCCAAAAAGCCAAAGAAAAGTTCGAGAAAAAAGAAGTGAAAGATGGCCTAGAAATTTGTGACACATATAATTACAACCAACAGGTGGAGTGCAAAGGAGACTGTATAATACCCTATTGTGAATGCTCCCTGGATTACAAAATTCCTAGAGTTACAGTCGGCCTTGAACTGTATATGAAATTTTATCATCGTGACATCGCACATTCGGAAGAAGTGATAACAATCCAAACACTTCTGGACTTCGGCCTTTGAATCCATACAATGTCGTGCTGACCAGTACGTGATCCAAAGAAGCAACTTGGGAAATAAGCTGAAAGAAGTATTTCACACATATCTATTGAAGTTAAAGCGTGAACATCACTCTGGCGACATTTGGATTTATGCATACATAGACTCAAAGCCTCGAGGATGGTCTCACAACAAGTTTGAACCCACAGAACATGTTGTTTATCTTTCCTACCGAGTATGGTCTCGAGCGATGGACTTCGTACCATGCCAAATTACCTTGCCAAAGATTTGCAAAAAAACAATAAGAGAGCAAATAACAAATTGGAGATCAAGAATGATAGCCAACAACTTATTTGGAGATAAAAAACTTCAACTAACCAAATACAGACTCGTCTACCAAAACCCTATATACAAAATCTACGTCTATAACAAAAAACAATTGGGAAAAAACCTAGACCCATTCGTCACGACAATGGAGATTGGTTCTTATGCCTTAGTCAGAAAATTCCAAAACAAAGGCAACATAAATTCAAGATACCAAGACTCACTCTTCTACAAAAGCCTCTTAGAAGAAGAAGAAGATGAAGAAAAACAAGTACAAGAAGAATCGCCATGCTCGAAGATGACAACAGTCAACCTTGCGGACGATTATGAAGATCCGATTTTCGGAACTAATGACACTTGATAGTGTATAAATATTGTAATTTATTTTATTTCCTAGTTTTAGTTGTTTTTATTCAAAATGTCGTAATAGCATAAGAAAAACAAAAGAAAAAGAGAAAAATAATAACATCAAGAAAAATGAAAAAAGAAGTAAAAAAAAAATCAAGAAAAATCAAAATGCAATCATTATGTAAAAGAAAAATAAAACCATTCTACCCCACCCCCACCCATTCATTCATCTATATAAACCACACCAAAAGACACCACATTAGACAACATCTTACAACAACACAACACCACACCACAACATTCCACAACACATCACAAGAATTCTCTCATAAGCTTTCTTCTCCCCTCCCTTCTCCTCTCTTCTCCTCTCTTTCTTCTCCAAATGCCGAGAGCCTTTAGAACGGTTTAAGCTTCCATAGCTTAAATTTTCTTTTGTGTTCTTCAAATACCCAAATTACTAAACTTTCTCAAATCCCAAATGTATTGTTAGTATAGTGTTAGTATTGAACATTTAAAAGATTACTCAAATATTTGAAGGCCTGGAGTAATTATTGTATCAAACATCGATTATTAATACAAGGTTCGTATATGTTCAAGTTCTTGTTCATTTATGTTTAAGTTCTTGTTCATACTTTTAATATCAATTATTTTCATGGTGGCACTAGTCCGATATTAATAATAATTATAATTAAATGTTACATGGTCGGCTCTACCACCTGTGTTAACATACTAAAATATTATTATTATTATTATTATTATTATTATTATTATTATTATTATTATTATTATTATTATTATTATTAATATATGGTTGGCTTCAAGCCCCATAACTAATAAAAACTTACTTAATCAAATACCTTATGGTTGGTTTTAAGCCCCATAAATTTTAAATTCCGCTCTTTACTTTATGCAAATACCTGCTGGAAGTAATTTCGCAATTTACTTTACGCACTTTCATTTATGCAAATACCTGCTGGAAGTAATTCCGCAATTTATTTACTGGTCGTGCTAGGTTGAAAGAAAAGGAAGGAAGAACGTCCTAAATGGAAAAATCAACTACAAAATGAATTGCGTACTTTCAGTCTGATCTCGGCAGGGAGTTGAGTTCGGAGCTCTTTACATTTATGCAAATACCTGCTGGAAGCAATTCCGCAATTTAAATTCCACATTTAAATTCCGCACAAAACTGCTGGAACAAATTTCTGCAATTTTATTTTCTTTTATATGGTTGGACTTTAAAGCCCCATACTTTAAATTCCAGTATTCAAATTTCACATTTAAATTCTGCAAAACTGCTGGAACTTATTCCGCAACATATAAATTGTTATATGGTTGGCCATTAAGCCCCATAATTCAAATTCCAAAAAAAAAATACGTACTTAAATCCAGTATTATTATCTTATTTACGTGGCGGTATTCACCCCATATTATTAATTGTTCTTGTTATTTATCTTTTGTGAAAAGTTCTCTTCTCCTGCCTACTATTTACTACCTGCTCGACCATGTGTCGCTCTTGTATCAGAGCCACGGAGGGTAGTGTTTATTGAATCTTTTTAGAAATGGAATCATTTTTCCATAAGACTATCTCTTCTAACTCTGGAGAGGATAGTGGAAATGCACCTTTGTGGATAAAGGGTATTTCTCTGTCAAAGCTGCCTATTTTCTGATGCTTAGTAATAAAATGTGTGAAATTGCCAGGGCTGAATCAAGCAAATTAGCTGGAGATAATAAACGAGCTAGGATGAGGTGCTGGAAATTAAAAGTAGTTGGGAAAGTGAGACACTTTGTTTGGAGGTGTATTACTAACATTGTACCTGTCAACTGCAACATTAAAGTGAGGAGGATGGATATAGAGACAAGGTGTCAAACCTGTGGAGAGGCAGAGGAAACATTAGAACACACTTTATTCTATTGTCCAAGAGCTCAAAATACATGGAAACTAGCACCGGTTCAATGGAACAGACTGCAAAATGAGAAGATATCTTTCAAACAATGGTGGTGGTGGGTAAGCTCTATGGATTATACAGACACTTCTGAAGATCGCATCCAACTATCAACGTATATACTTTGATAGTTATGGAAGGCGCGGAATTTGTGGGCTTTTGAAAGGATTTGGCAACCGGAATGGTGGATAGTTAGAATGGCAACACAGGAATGGTTGGAGTATAAAGCTATATCCTGAAACAGTCAGAGGGAAAGGAAGCAAACATTAGGTCTTGTGTCAGTTGTGTCTGATTCTTTTCCTTCTCATTCGGGTTTCTGTTTTTGTGTGATACCAATCTTGTGATATGTAATTTAGTGAAGTCCTGGTCTTGTTTATGTCTGCCATTGTGTCTGTTGAATGTGAAATGGCTGGAATTTGTTAGCATTTGGCCTTGATATGTTAGGCAGGTATTTCGGTTAGGTTGCAAGGATTGTGTAACCTCTCAGGTCATGAGATTTGGGCTTTGGTCCCATGTACTATTTTCTTTGGGTTGAATGAAGAGANCAAATTCTCAAAATAGAACCCCTAATTCAAATGAGATCCAAATGCCATTAAACTGCAATCCCATAACTAAATTCGAAATTCAGGCGACATGAAATGTGGTAGCCGGCGGATGCTGGTGGTCGTGGGATGGTCGCGGTGGCGGGGGACTGGTGCCGGCGGTGGCGGGTTTAAGTTGGTGGCTCGAGCAGACTCAAGCGTCGGCGGAGGGTATGGCGTCAGATGCGACGGTCGACGGGACCGGGAGCACTGCCGCCTGCGGCGCGACAGAGATGGTGGTTGTATGTCGGAGGCGGCTGAAGAAAGCCGCGGGTGGCGGACCTACAAAGACGACGGACTGGTTTCCGCCAAAGCCCGGCGATGTTGCGCGGAGGCGAGGGGATGACAAGGCCGACGCCGGGAGAGAAGGTACAAAGGATGCCGGAATTTGTGGCAGATGGCCCATCTGTGCAAAGGGGAAATGGATAGATGGCGAGAGAGAGAGAGAGAGATACGGCGGTGGTAGAAGGCGGCACCGGGCGGCGGCTGTTGGTGGCGGGGTGTATCTCCGGCGCATGCAGAAGCTGGAGAAAACAAAATGGCAAATACGCTTTTGTGTGTGTGTGCGTGAGAGAGAGATGAAGGGAGAGATAGTAGAGAACGTGCAACAATTAGGTAGGGCCCATTGACTTTGTTATTTATGAAATTACACTACTGCCCTTCATTGTGTTTATTTATCCATAAGATATTGGCATATTTACGATTTTGCCATTAATGAGTTGACCATTGTTATTTAATTTTGACTTCATCATGTCCATTGATCGTACCGATCCAATGGAACATGATCATTCTTATTTCTTTCACTATCTACCATTCTCATATGATCCTAACTATATATATATATATGGATGAGTTCACATGAGAATGGTGCTTAGTGAAAGAAATGAGAATAAATTTCAATCATTAGATGAAACAATCGGACGGATACAACAAAAATCACAATCTTACACTCATGAGGGGTATTTTAGATATTTTCTTACAATGGGACACTCATCAAACATTAATTTAAGTGATAATACCATTAAATGGCCATAAAGATTTGCAAAACACAAATTTTAGCCACCTTTTGTAAAAAAACATTCTTTTTAGCCATTTTGGCATGTAAGGTTACAAAATTACCCCTAACTCAATGTTCCCTTTACACAATTTCAATTCCCCCTAAATGAATTAATTTTCATCTTCAAAATTTTTCGTCCCCCGCTCTGCAATTATCTTCCCCAATCTTCTTTCACGACCGAAAATTTTTCTTCAAAAAATCATCTCTTCTGAGCAAATCGAACACCTCACGACGACAAATCGAACACCTCACAAGAAATCGAACACTTCACGAGCAGAAATCAAACTCCTGTTCTGAGCAAATCTTCGACCGGGCCTTCACTCTTCCCGACCGAACACGACCTCGACGTCACGACTCTTCACGACCTCGCCGGACTCTTCACGATCTCGCCGGAATTTGGTTTGATTTTTTTTTTGTTTCAATTAGGGTTTTATTTTGCCCTTTTTAAGAGTTCCTTTATATTTTGCCTTTTGTGTTTTTTTTCTTGCTGAAAAATGTTTATGTGTTTCTGTGTTTGCTAGCTGTTTCTGTGTTTGTTCCTGTGTTTCTGTGTTTGTTCCTGTGTTTCTGTGTTCGTTCCTTTTTATTTTAAGAGTCCCTTTTTATTTGCTAGCTGTTTCTGCGTTTGTTCCTTCATATGGTGATTTTGCCTTTTGTGTTTGTTTTTGGACTTGTGATTTGCTAGGTGTTTCTGTGTTTGAATAATGGTATATGGGTTTTGTTATCTGTGTTTTTGGTTGACCTTTCATTAAAGCTTCTCTTGATGAGCAGCTGTAGAAAGAGAGGGCCTAAAAATACAGCTAATTAGTCACAATTTCACATATTTTTTCTTAATCAAAAGTATTTGAAAAATATTGAAGCTGGATACAGATGAAGGACGTGAAGGGCACAACACTAATTAGAAATTAGAATAGCTACAAATACTGCTTTTTTTGTTTGGCAACAGGATTCCATATAATAAGATGGAATAACTAACAAAAACATTATAGTGAAAATACCTAAACGGTCAACATAATCACCTCATTTTTTTTTTTTTAATTTGTGAGTTTGTTTTTATTGGGTTTTTATTGTTTGTAGTTATATTCAGTTAGATCAGTTTGTTTTTAGTTATATTCAGTTAAAACAGATGTTAAATATTGCTATAGAAGATCATCCAGTTATGGCTAGTTTAGCTCTGTATATGAACATGGATGATTCTGAATTTGCTCACATGGATGATCATTTGTTTCATCTGTGCCAGTTTTTATATGTCGATATATTTGCATTTATCCTTTAACTTGATTATCTTAGCCATGCCCCAGCTGGGGTTTGAGTGATTTTAATATATGATTTATATATAGTCTTGCCTCAAAGTATTATGCATGGAAATTTGGGCTATTTGATCAAGAATCATGTTCAACAATTTATTTGGTTTTGACCTGTATAAAATTAAGAGATATTGAATGATATTAATATGTACAGATTATTCATTTTCCTTCCACAATCACAAAGTGCCGTCATAATGACTTCTCCTACAACTGAGGTTAGTTTTTTTTTTTTTTTCAATTTTTTATTGCTCCAAATTCACTAGTGTTTCAATTTTTTGTTTACATTGTTTGGTTAACAAATAAGGTTATACATTTCACTTTAAATTATGTATTTACTTTTTAGTTGTATTAACTTAATTATGTTGAACATCACAGGATAATAATTGGAAATGGAGGTGGGATAGGTCTTGTGATTGGATCGGTAAAGTGAACTGCCACACGAAGCCTGAGGTCATTTACCATATCAAAGAAACGCTATCTTCCAATCGTTTGACAGAATTTGATCGGTCTTGTTTTGGTAACTTTTTGAAGTTCCATGACAATGCATATAACAGTGGCAAATTACTTTTGTCACTGTTTGGGAGAGAGGTAGTGGTTGACAACCCTCGGGAAAGAGAACCTTATTATCGGATTGGTGGTTGCAATCACAAGTTTGTAAAGGAAGAGTTTTGTGCGATTACCGGGTTAAGATTCGACAATTCGGACTTTGATCCGGATACCAATAAGAGCCTCCCACCGGCTAATGGAGTTTACTGTCGATATTTCGACGGTAAGACTGTGCTGGGGAAGGATTTGTTGTCCAAGTTTGTTCAACAAGAATTTGAGGAGGACGAGGCTCTTAAAGTGGCTTTCATACTCGTAGCCTTCTTTTTTCATTATGTCCCCGGACTCCAGGATGTCGGTGCCACTTGTGGACACTGGTTGAAGACACAGTGAAATTCGAGGGATTTCCCTGGGGTTCATACGCTTTTCAGCATCTTCACCACTATCTGGAAAATGCGATTAAACCGCCGGCTGGTAAGGGCAAGGTTCAATTCAGTATCTGCGGGTATGTCATTGTTAGATATGTTGTAAAAGCTTGGCTTTCAGATATTAATAATACAATTTTGATCTGGCAATCATGTTTTAGTCAAAGTATTTATGCTTGTAGTTTATTTATTTATGCTATCATACTCCTTATCTTACATTGAGATGGTGTGGTTTGTGGTGTCGAATAGAAAGGTCACCTATCAGTTCCTTGTAAGACTAAATCATTTGTTCACAGTCTAGATTGGCAGTGAGACCCCACTTGGAAAAAGACTGTAGTGTATTCTTTATTCAGTTGACCTTGACTGGAGAATTACACTAGTACTTATGTTAAGTATTGAACAGGACCACCGAAAGGATAAGATTATGAGATTCACTGATCGTTGTTGTAATCTATACCTTCAGCGATTGATGCGTTCTCTAAAGCTATAAGATAATATAAAATAGTCGTGTATATTCATTACTTGTTTATTTGATTTACCAAGGGTGATTCCTATTTTATTAGGATGACATACTCGGTACTTTGGTAAATAAGAGTGATTATATGACGAGCTATTATAAATTATTTATGGTACCGTGTTCCAGTGCGCTGGATTGATAACGTCCCCGAAATGAGCTCATGAAGGAATATTGTGTTAAACCCTGCAAGTTGATATTTATCCGACACAATGATTAAGGTTCTGAGTGGTACTAATTTCGGAAATGAATAAGAAGTCGATTAATTATCTTGTCAGTAATTTAATTAATCCACGGACGTTATATCTTAAACATGGGGAGGTAAATCGGTCAATCAGATTAATATTTATTAATCAAGTGGAGGTTTAATTTAATTGATTAAATTGGAGCCAAACGGGGAGAGCAATAATAATATTCTAGTGGGATATATTATTATTTAACTAGTACAGAGTCCGTGCGATGCACGGGGTGCACAATTTTAAGGCTATTTATTCAAGCTTATAATTATATACATGAATAAATAAAAATGTACGGAATATATATAGTACGTGACCGTGCCAAGCACGAGATATATTTATTTGGAGAATATTATATTATAAGATGCAATATTCAATAAAAGTTTATAATACGCAAGAAAATTGTACAATGTTCAAATACCCGTGCAAAACACAAGATATATTTATTTGTTTTATGATTTGATAATATAAACAAATTTATACTTAACTTTGACAAATAAAACAAATAAATACTTTAGTAAGTATTTAATGTATATACTAAATAGGAATATATTTGGTATAATCAAATACCAAATATAATCAAATAAGTCAAAGTGTACATTTTTATTTGGTATTTGATTTTTTTATTATTAAAATATTTTTATTATACTTACCTTTTTAAAATAAAACAAATAAACAAATCAATTAAATAAATAAAATATTATAATATCAAAATAGTAATGACATTTAATGCAGTTGACTTTTCTGGATAGTAAATGTAGTAAATAGAATCTCCTTTTATATAAGTATAGATTGTATAATACGGAAATAGTAATGCAATAAATGTTGTTGACTTTTCTTTATACTAAATCTGGTAAATGGTATACCTTTTAATATAAGTATAGATTTTATTAGGAATTTAGGAATTAATTTTATTCCATATTTATTATTCCAAGACTTAGGGAATATTCCTTCTAGAATCTCACCTAGGGTTAGGAGACTAGAGAGTCTTCTAGAAGGTGATGTTAGGAGAAAGGAATCATGACCTAATATGGATTAGCTTATGGAGTAGAATTAGGATTCCTTGACCTAATGGGATAAGCCCATATTTGGCACCTCCTTAAGGTCCCTAATGGAGCCTATAAATACAACATGTCCCAACCTCTTGAGACACACATGTGAGACTCGTTTTTTCCATCTTTCAAAGAGAGAAAATTTGTCTTGTTCGAGAGTTAGGGAGATTCAATTAATCGCACCACCAAGATTAATTGAAATAGGTGTTTAGGTAATTCATTAGAAGGCTTTAAGGTGAGATTTCTTTAAACCACAAACCTTCATATTTTCCGGTCATCTTCCCCAGCTAATGGGATAAGCCCATTTTCCGGTCGACCACCGCCGGAAAACCACTCCTCGTTCGACTAGGACTCCTCGCTCAACCAGGACTCCTCGCTCGACTAGGACTCCTCGCTCAACCAGAACTCCTCCCTCGACTAGGACTCCTCACTCAACCAGGACTTCTCGATCGACCAGGACTCCTCGCGCCCTAGGAAACGTGCCGCATGACAAAGACCCTGCTCGCCTAGTCCTCACAGGAATAGGAAAGCCGCAGCGCGCGACCCGCACGCATCCACTATTCCACGCCTGATCAGGACTCCTCGCGTGTATAGGAGACGTCCCAAGCACGTACCCGCGTGAGCCCAGACGCCGCACGCCTAGTCCTTTCAGACATAGGAAAGTTGACACACACGCGCATCTGTCCGCATCCCGAACCGCTGCAACCCGACCCGACCTGAGACGTGATCCGTTCGTGATTTAACACTCGACTAGAGTCGACAAAGGCCAAACTCTTCAACCGATTGAGTTGTGGTAATCAGACGATCTCCATCAAAGGAAATTAGAAACGTCTCTGAGTCGGCAGAAATTTTAAAAGGTAATGTCCTAATCCTAACTATAGATTCCGCTGCGTTAGGATTTATTTCGATAAGTTCAATACTGCGCATGTTGTTGACGTTCCTCACAGAACCCAACAACTGGTATCAGAGCCCAGATTAATTCAACTTCGTGCACAGTTTGAATTAGGACTTGCCTGTTTACATGAATTATGTGTGTACGGACGCAGTGGCATAGTAGATTAGAAATTGCAACTGTTTGCAGGGGATTTCAGATCCGACTATTATGGCCCGTATGTATGATTTAATTCATGTATGGATGTATGGTGTTTTTATAAGCCTCGGACATGTCGAGAAGTTTTTTGGGTTGGTGAATGCTTGTAATAAATTATTCGCGCAGTGGGACACTGCATAGTTTATTGCTTTCATAGAAAAACTCGTGTACGACTCCTGTGCGGGTCATAGGATGAATTATGCAATTGTTGTTATATTATTCATTGTTGATCCGACGGATGTGGACCAAACTCGACGGGGCGAGGTGACAAACACACAGACGGATGCCATGGTGATGATCCAATGGCGACTTTCCCGGAGACAGCCTATTCGAAATGAAGAGTGGGAGTCACTGCGAAAGGGGTGTTCCAATTCCTGAAACGGAAAACACATTCAAACAAGGACAGGATTGTGTTTCTCCGTAATATTGGAGATTAATTAATGGCCATAGTAGTTGGATTATAGTTCCTAGTTTATTATTGCTCATTAATTATGCATGTCCTTATTTGCTTTATGTGCAAATTTGAAATAGGAGCATGTCTAGGAAAAATTCCTTAAATTAAATTTATATTAAGTGTGCAATGGGTTGAAATAAATTACATCCAAGGCCT